GCTGCCAGGCAGAGCTGTCGTCCCGGCTGGCCCCGGAGCGGGCGGGCGAGGGAGCGCCGGACACGCGGGAGCAGCGCGGCACCGGCGAGAGCGAGCGGCCCGGGGAGCGCCCAGGTGAGCCCAGGGCAAAGCCCTGCTTGCCTTTCCTTGCTGGAATTTGGGAATGCATGAGCAGCCAGGCTCTTAGAGTGAGTTGAGTTCTTGTTCTCAGGGTATTTGGAGTGGAACTTGCAGAGTTTCTCAGTAAGGATGCTGAGAAAAGGCCACTTCCAGTTTTGGGGTCTGGCAGGCATTCGTGACTCAAAATGCAGAGGTGTAACACAGGCCCCAGTGACAGCCCTGCTTCAGGGACCTGTGGCTGCACCTCGGGTTTGTTACCACCCTGTGCACTGGAGCAGGGTCTGAACCAGAAGGGGTGGTTGGTTCCCTAACCCAGTTGTGGGGATTTTGCTGTTGGATCCATGGGACAACCTCTGTGGCTGGGCAGGCCTGACCCAGCAGCTCCTTATCCCTAGGAGCTGGTAAATAATCCCTGGAAGTGCTCAAGGCCAGGTTGAAGGGAACTTGGAGCAACCTGGTCTAGTGAAAGATGTCCCTATCCATGGCAGGGGGTGGAATGGGATGGGCTTTATGGTCCCTTCCAACCTAAATCATTCCATGATTCTGGGACTCTCTTATCTTGCTGCCTGTGACATGTTCCTTGTGACCTGTTCTTTGCTCCTGTCTTAGAAGTGAGACAAGCAGAGATCCTGTCCATTGATTTCTGTCCATTACACTTAATCTCTTTGAGATTCTCTTAATAAACAACCCAGGCAGTCTAAAAACGTAAATTCCTAAGTGGTAGAATTGGCAGAAAACCCCTCAGTTTGGCACAGGCAGCTCCAGCTCTCTTCCTATGTGATTCAGAAGCCCTAACTGGAATCCCTTTGGCTGGGGGTGCTTCCCTGCAACACCAATCTGTTGCGTGCTGTGTCCCAGAGAGCTGCAGATGGATTAACTGTGTCCCTGTCCTTGCAGTGCTGGAAGGGTGGCCGCCTTCCCTGAAATCCCTGAGCTTGCCTGAGCTGTCAGCTGTGCTGGAGGAGTGTGTGGGAGAGATGGGTAAGCTGGGAAGGACTCTGGGCATGTGGAGGGGCTGTTGTGCTGTGGAAGGCATGGCTGGGTGGGGTTTGGTAGTTTGGAGTTGTTGTTAGGAGAATCCCTGCTCGTTCAGGGAAGTCTCCAGGCTCTGGAGTTGGTGCTGTTCTTGCTGCAGATCTTGGGCTCTCCATCATCCCCTGGTGGCAGGTCCAGGTTGGGAGGTGGGGGGTGGTCCCTGCATCTCCTGCTCAGTGATGAGAGCTGCTGGGGAAGTGGCTCCCTAATCCTGTGTCCTGTTCTCCTGGTGACAGGAAATTGTCCCAGCAGCTTGCAGACAGTAGAGACACCCCTGTTCTCAGAGCAGGAGCAGCACAGCAGTGGCTGAGAGCAGCCTGTTCTTTCCTGCTTCCTGGCCCCTTCCTAATGCTCCTTTTTCCCTTTGGTTTGTCCTCAGGAAAAGCTCTGCAGACTGTGACTCAAAACCTCCAAAGGCTCCAAGCCCTGGGGCAGAGCGGGCAGAGCTGGCCAAAGCCATAACTGAGCCAGGAGGGTGAGTGGGAACAAACAGCTGCCCTGCCCTGTCCCAGGCTGTGGCACCGAGGGGACACCGTCCCTCACTGCCATGTGCCCAGAGCTCGCTCGGAGCCCACACACCAGGGCTGCACTCTCATCCTTGGCTGCCCTCTGCTTGCTTCTCCCTTTGGAAAACCTGTAGCCCCCTTGTCCCAGTGTCCCAGCAGACAGTGACTGTCCCTTTCTCCTGGTGGCTGCAGGAATTCTGACGTCGGGTGACCGTTCCACCCGGAAGCTGAGTGTGCCTGGGAGAGGGAGCACGGGGCTCTGCCAAGGGCCACCGCAGCCTGCAGGGCACCGAGGAGGCCATGGCCACCAGAGAACACAGCTGGGAGGACGAGGGACAGCAGAGGACAACAACCAGCTGCTCTTGGGGCCTGACTCAAGGCTCCCAGGACCTTTGTTTGAAAGGTTTAGGTTTGGAGGAGAAGCTCCAAGCCTAGAAGTTTTGTCTGCCTTAAGCTTTGTGCGGCCCTTGTTGTTCAGGTCTGGGTGGTGGTAGAAAGGTGACAGTTGCACACAGCAATCAATTCATTATCCTTTCCTGTATTCCAAGCTCCCCAGGGCCTCTGAAACGTGTCCCTGGCTCCTCCTGTGCCATGGGGATTGGCCCAGAGAATGGATCTGAGGCCATAAAAAAGGCAGTTTGTTGTGGAGGGGTGAAGGGAGTGGAGTTTGTGATGTTTGGCTCTTTGAGCTGCAGTGGAGCTTAAACTGCAGCCCTGTTCCTAGTTGGAATGTCTGCTCTACTGCCACCCCAGATCTGGGCTTCAAAGCCTGTTCCTCCAACCAGCCCACTTTGGTTCACTTTGGGTTCTTGCTCTCCTCAGGGCTGGGTGTGATCACGTTGGTGGTTTAGGAATGGCATTCACTGAAACACTCCCAACTCACCTACTCCCCCTCCTCACCTCCTCTCCCCTGGGGTGGGATGGAGAGGAGAACTGGAGGCACAAAAGTTGAATATCACTGGTAGAAATAAAAGCATTTTACTGGAAACAGCACTGAGATAAGGAACAGTAACAGTAATAACAAAAGTGTACAGGAGAGGTCCTGGTCCTGCAGAAATGAACCCTGTCCTGGCCAGAAGCAGGACATCACTGTTACTCCATCCCCAAGAACTTGGCTTTGTGGTCAGTGCTCTATGGCAGAGGTCATTGGCCTGGTGTGCCAAGATCCCAGCAAGGCAGGGATCCCTTGGAAAGACAGGAGAGAGAGAAGGGAGAGCTGGGACTGCTGAGCTTCCCCTGCCTCTGGCAAGCAGGGAAGTGCCCAGGCAGCAGAGCAGGAACAGGAATAGGTCTGTGCCCCATGGGAGTGGGCAAAGGAACCACAGCCCAGACAGAGCTGTGGTGCCAGGCTTTGCTCCTCACCTCTGCCTGCCTTTGATGTGCAGGCTTTAGTGCTGGGAAAGAGTTCTGCCAGAGCATTTGTGGGTGGGCATTGCCAAGGCCAGGCCTGTCCCTGGGAGGGGGTGAGGGTGCCAGGGACTTTGGTGTAGAGTGGTTTCCAATCACTCTGTGTTCCCATTTATTCCTGAATCCTCTAAGGGGGAAAAACACAACAATCAAAATCTGAAGTCTATGAGTGATGACCTTGGTGAATCACGATAAGTCCCTTTGGGAGGAGGATGGAACTGTGTGTTCCTTCTGCTATTTGGACTTTGGGCACAGATCCCAAATATAAAAATCCATCCAGCTCCATCTTCTGATGAGCTGCCTGAGTCCCTTCAGGCAGGGGTGACAACTGGCCTGCCTGCAGAGTCTGTGCTTCCTGGCCCCAGGCAGGTATGGCCCTCTCAGCTGTGCCCCCATGTGCCTGGCAGTGTCCCCCCCTCTGTGTGCTGCTTCCTGCCCATGCTGACCTCCCACCCCCAGCACAGGGCACTGTTTTTTCATCTTGAGCAAACACCATGGAGCATGTGGGCACTGAGTGCCAGCTGCAGGGTGAGGCTGCAGAAGCTTCACCCTGAGGAGTTTGGATGAGGGGGATGGAATTGTCCTCATGCAGCACCCCTAGAAACTCCTCAGAGGGCTGAGGCTGTGCTGGGAGGGGTGTTCAGGGTTTGTCTCTCAGTCCCTGTGACTGGGGAGTTCCAGGCTCTCTCCCTGGCCTTGGTGGTGCCTCTGGCTGCAGTAATATGGGGGTGTTAGTGCTGTTTCCCTTGTACTCAAGGCAAACCCCCCCCCCCAAAAAAAAACTCCTAAGGGAAAAGCCCTGGCTCAGCAGTGCCCTCAGCATGGGGGGCTGTGCAGAACAGTGGCTGGAAGGTGACTAGAGGGATTTGGGGCTTGCTTTGCTAAGTCTGAGGCTGGAATCAAGGAGGTTTGGGGCATTAACAGGATCTATCCAATAGATGAGAATGCCTGGGGAAAGGAGGGAGATGTGGCAGTGTGTGTGTGTGAAGGAAAAAGGCCCCAAACAGGTGCTGCAGGTGTAAAGGCTTCAACAAAGGGGTGTGAGAGCACCCAAGGGCCCAGCAGGGAGGGGATCCTTGACAATAGAACATCCCTGAGGAGGCAATTCCTTAACTGCAGGATGTGAAGCAGCATTCCTTGCAGCTAGGGTGGCTGTGCAGGCAGCAGGAGTCTGGTGCTACCCTAAGGTGAGCTGTCCATGGAAAAACAGCATTTGCTGATTTGGATAAATGAATAAAAGCTGAGAAGCCTGTGTGTGGTGTGTGGGTATCTCTGGGGAATCCTGAATAAGTTCCTGATTTGTTATTGCAGGGCACTCAGGAATGCACACAGGCTTTTCCAGCCATCTCTGCCAGGAGGCTGCAGGCTCAGGGGGCTGGGGCTGCCTGAGCCCTGAGAGCCCAGCCCTGCCTGCCTGGGCCATGTGGGAATCCAGAGGAGCCACTGAGATACTCCAAGCCAAGGGCTGGAGCCAGGCTCAGGGAGCTGCCTCCTCTGCTCACCTGGAGAGGAGAAGGCTCCAGGGACACCTCAGAGCCCCTTGCGGGGCCTAAAGGGGCTCCAGGAGAGCTGGAGAGGGACTGGGGACAAGGCATGGAGGGACAGGACACAGGGAATGGCTCCCAGTGCCAGAGGGCAGGGCTGGATGGGATATTGGGAATTAGGAATTGTTCCCTGGGAGGGTGGGCAGGCCCTGGCACAGGGTGCCCGGAGCAGCTGGGGCTGCCCCTGGATCCCTGGCAGTGCCCAAGGCCAGGCTGGGCAGGGCTTGGAGCACCTGGGACAGTGGGAGGTGTCCCTGCCATGGCAGGGGTGGGATGGGCTGGGCTTTAAGGCTCTTTCCCCCCACCCCCGAGTCCATTCTGAGATTCAGCTCTCTGTGCCCACCAGTCCCTTCCCTCCCCTGCAGCAGACAGAAGCAGCAGGCTCTGCTTTTTGAAAAATAAATATTTATTTACATCTGAAAAGAGAGTTGATGTGTAAATTGGTCTCGTGGGGGTTCCATCGATCCAGGACCGTGACTCCAGGCTCGTGCAGCCTCTTTGCTTTGTGTGCTCGAGGCAGCTCCTCCCTGAGGCACTGGGAGAGGCTCCCCCAGCCCCTCGGGGAAGAGGCAGGGCCTGGAGAACCTCCCGTGTCCATGGGCATCTCCTTGAGCTCCCAGCTGCTTCCTCCTCCTGGAGGGGACTTGTGCATGGCAAAGGAAGGAATGTGGTGGGAACGAGCTCTGGCAGTGTCTGTGCTGCTCCCGTGGGCCAGAGCAGGGGGCTGGGGATGTCTCCAGCTGCTCCAGGACAGGTGCAGCCCTGCTCAAACCACACCACCGCAGCTGCTTCCCTTCCTCCTGGGCTTCCTGGGATCCACAGCCTGCTTGGCCGGGGGGGAGGATGCTTTGGCACCCCACTGGAAAGCAAACTCCCAGGATTTGAGCCTTTGGTGCCTGAGCTCCTGCCAGGCTGGCAATCCAGCTTTCCCTGCACAAAGCAGGGGAGGCTGGGCTGGATGCTGAACCTGGGGGATGCTGGCATGGGGGAGGTTGGGCTCTGCCCCAGTGAGTTGCTGCTCTCAAATCCTTCACTCCCAAATGGTTTTGGGGCTCCATCCTTGGCTCTGCCCATGCAGGAGGCACCGGGGTTTGTGCAGCTGGAGAGCAGTGAGGAGGGGATGGGAGCTGCTGTTCTGTGTCGGTGATGAGGGTGGGAGCAGGAGCAGCCCCTCGCTGTGCAGAGCTTTACAGGGTGGCTGTGGATGCCTGCTGAGATGGTCCTGGGCTGGGACACGGGGACAGGGAAGCCCTGGCTGTGGTGTGGCAGCATCTCCCATTGCCACTGCAGGACCAGGCTGCCCCTGCCTGTTGTGATCCCTCCCGCAGGTGCCCAGGGGGCTGTGGGTGTCCCACGGGTTCCCTGTGTGGGAGGTGTCCTGGGGGAGGCTGCCAGGCTCTGCAGGTGCTCAGGCAGGGCGAGAAGCAGCAGGGCTGCCCACACAGCAATGCCTGGCGAGAGCCCGGGGTGCCACCTCCCACTCGGGTCACAGCAGGGATGTCCCTTCCAGCAGCTCCAGTGTGGCACAGCCAGACACCCGTCCCAGCCTGGCCATCCCAGGTGGGCACTGCCCAGCACAGCTTCTGCAGCCTCAGCCCTGCAGCCAGGCCCTGTGGCCATCGTGGCCAGCAGCCCCTCTGCCCTGGCTGGTCACCACCTCACTGGGCACAGCAGAGCACCGGGTGGTCGAGCTTCCAGAGCTGCCACTTCTTCTTCATCTCGGACTTCACCTGCCATGGAGGGGAGGGAGAAGGGGCTTATCCATGGCTGTGCCCTCCCTGCAGGCACAGGGTGGGGAAAGGTGGTGCCAGGGCAGGGACAAGGACGTTACCTCCTTGTTGGCAAAGCAGTACAGCACAGCCACCAGGAAGCCCTGCAGGGAGAGCCAGCAGTGAGCCCCCTCCCTGCTGTCCCTCTCCTGGGGCTGGGATGAGCTTAAGGCTCCCCCCAGGCCACTCCTGGTTGTTTTTAGGGCTGGGGTCCCCATGGCAGCGCTGCCCAGAGAGCACAGGAGGCAGCAGCACACTCTCAAGGGCAGAGGCAGTGCCACCCTTCCCATGGAAGCACCGCAGGAGAGCAAGTTCAGAGAGGGAGCCCCTGACCTCTGCTCCGTGGTGTGCCCAGAACAAGGATTTGTTTCACTCCCACCTCACCTGGAAGGAGTTGAGGAAGAGGGTGAAGAACACCTTGATGTAGCGCAGGATGCCCGTGGTTTGCTCGTCCGTGGCGAAGATGAAAACGACCTCGTGGATCCCGAAGAGGGGGATGAGGGTCAGCGTGGCTTTGGCCAGCCTGGGGGACAGTAAGGGGACAGTCAAACTCCCAGTTAATCCCAGGGTGGTCGTTGAAGGATGTGCAAGGTGGAAGAGAGGCGTGGGGAGGGTGGGGGTGTGGAGGGGGCGTTATCCCGGTAGCCCAGAGTGTCCCCACCCCCCTCCCGGCCCACCTCAGCTTGTAGTCGGCGTAGCCCTTCTGGTTGGCCCGGAGCTTGGCCAGGATCACCTTGAGGATCCGCATGAAGATGAGCAGGTTGATCTGGGAGGGGAGACAGGGCAGGGGCACACAGAGCCCAGCACCCCCACCCTGGCTGTGACACTCACCCAGCAGGGGATGGCACCCTCTGTGCTGCCGAGGCTGCTGCTGCCCTTCCTCCCCTCCTGCCATCCCAAAATCCTGGCTACAAAGCAGCAGGAGCCACCCCCAGCCCCTTTCCCTGGGGTTCAGCACCCCAGCTTCCTTCATGAACCCCCAGAACCAGGGGTCAGCAAGCTGCTGAACCCCCTGTGCATTTGGCTGGTCCTTGCAGGCCAGCTCTCCCTCCTGGCCTCTGATGGAAGCTTCCCAGGGCCAGGAGCCAGGGGCTGAGCTGCTGCTGTCCAAACAGACCCGGGGCTGGCAGCTGTTCCCTACCAGGGAGGCGAGCAGGATGGGGATGCGGATGATCCACCAGTAAGCCATGTTCTCATTCAGGGCCCAGCACCTGCCGGGGAGGAGAGACAGCACCGTCACCCTGGGCTGGGGGCAGCATGACCCAAGAGCTTTCCAGCCCCAGCCAGGGGGCTCAGGGACCCTCAGCAGCCTCTGAGCATCCCAGCAAGACCCCCATCCATCCATCCATCCATCCATCCATCCATCCATCCATCCATCCATCCATCCACCCATCCATCCACCCATCCATCATCCATCCATCATCCATCCATCCATCCATCATCCATCCATCCATCCATCCATCATCCATCCATCCATCCATCCATCCATCATCCCTCCATCATCCATCCATCCCTCCATCCATCCCTCCATCCATCCATCATCCATCCATCCATCCATCATCCATCCATCCATCCATCCATCCATCCATCCATCCATCCATCCATCATCCCTGTCCATCCATCCAACCCATCCATCCATCCATCCATCCATCCATCCATCCATCCATCCAGCCATCCCTCATCCATCCATCATCCATCCATCCATCATCCATCCATCCATCATCCATCCATCCATCCATCCCTGTCCATCCATCCAATCCATCCATCCATCCATCCATCCATCCATCATCCATCCATCATCCATCCATCATCCATCCATCCATCATCCATCCATCCATCCATCCATCCATCATCCATCCATCCATCCATCCATCCATCCATCCATCCAGCCATCCCTCATCCATCCATCATCCATCCATCCATCATCCATCCATCCATCATCCATCCATCCATCATCCATCCATCCATCCATCCATCCATCATCCATCCATCATCCATCCATCCATCATCCATCCATCATCCATCCATCCATCATCCATCCATCCATCCATCCATCATCCATCCATCCATCCATCATCCATCCATCCATCCATCCATCATCCATCATCCATCCAACCCATCCATCCATCCATCCATCCATCCATCCATCCATCCATCCATCCATCATCCATCCATCCATCATCCCTGTCCATCCATCCATCCATCCATCATCCATCCATCCATCCATCCATCATCCCTCCATCATCCATCCATCCATCCATCCATCCATCCATCCATCCATCCAGCCATCCAGCCATCCATCATCCATCATCCATCCAGCCATCCAGCCATCCATCATCCATCATCCATCCAACCCATCCATCCATCCATCATCCATCCATCCATCCATCATCCATCCTCCATCCATCATCCATCCATCCATCCATCCATCCATCCATCCATCCATCATCCATCCATCCATCCATCCATCCATCCATCCATCCATCCATCCATCCATCCCCCATCCATCCATCCATCCATCCATCCATCCATCCATCCATCCATCCATTCATCATCCATCCATCCCTGTCCATTCACCCCCACTCACTCCGCGTTCTCCTTCAGGTACTTGGCGGCCATCCAGGGCACCACGAACACCACGGGGGTCCCTGCAAGTCACACAGCAAACCCTGTAAAACCAAGCACCCTCCTGAGCTGAGAAACCACCCCCGTGCTGGGGGGACCCCCGGGGTGGCAGAGCCCCCACCCCACACCCTCCTGGGATGGTTGGGACCGCGGTGCCCCCAGGTGACACCGGGCACTGTCCCCTCCCTGCAGCGTGCCCAGGGGGCCCCTACCCCAGCCCAGGTAGAGGTAGAGCCTGTAGTAATTCTTCTCAGAGAACACGGCCCCGATGAGCAGCTTGTAGAGGTAGACAGCTTCCACCAGGAACCAGTAGTGGTTGGCCAGGATGCAGTATTGCATCAGCACCTGCGCTGCACGGCACCCCAGCGCTGCCTGCCACGGGAGAGCCACCCACGGCTCAGCACAGGCACCCCAGGAGCTCATCCAGGGGGGGTGGTGCTGCACAGGCACCCCAGGATCCCTGAGAGCTCCCCCATGGTGGGCTCACCCAGAGGCTGCACAGGAACCCCCAGAGCTCACCCAGCAGGGGCATGAGTGGCACTAAGGGTTCATCCCTCAGGTGCCACACAGGCCCAGAGCTCACCCAGCGGGTGCACAGGTGTCCCAAGAGTTCACCCACTGGGTCATGGGCAGCACAGGCACTCCAAAAGCATGCCCACTGTGTGGATGGGCACCCCAGGACCATGCACAGGCACCCCAAGACTTCATCCATCAGCTGCATGGGTGTCACCCTGATTTTTTAAGATTTTCTAAGCCATCTGATGTTTATATTCTTGTAACGAACTTCCTCACACGCTTTCTGTAAATAACTTATTGGTTTGCATTCTTTCATAGAAGAAGAGAAATTTAATAAACTGTTAGCTTGTCCAGTGTCATTGGAGAGGTGGCACTTTCACCCTCCAATCCACTGGCACTTTTAGAAAACTGTAAATGTTAGAATCAGGTAATAAACTTCCCTTTTCTTCACCTTGAGAGCAGCAGTGTGTGCGTTTGTGCTGTTTCGTGTCCTATAGTGACACATGGGCACCGCTGGCACCCCAGAGCTCACCCAGCAGGAATCTGGGGCCGCACGGGCACCAGCCCCCCCAGCCCTGCCCTGGGCGAGGGTCCCTCGCTGTCCCCAGCCCAGCACTCGCCTCGTGGCTCAGCAGAGCCTCCCAGTCCGCCACCTGCACCAGCTCCACGCCCCAGCGCCGCTCCAGCAGCGCGTCCTTCACCATCACCGAGGTGGCGCGCAGCCCGAAGGAGGCGAACAGGTTGGCGTGGATGTAATTCCTGGTGCAGCGCAGGTTCCTGCAGGAGCGGGGTCAGGCGGGGCCGGCATGCGGGGAGGGAGCAGGGGCAGGGCCGTGTCCTACCTGCAGGCGGTGAGGACGAGCAGGGCGGAGATGAGGGTGAGCAGCGACAGCGAGTAGCCCACGGTGTAGAGCACCTTGAAGCTGACCATGAGCCGGCGGGCGCCTTCCTGCAGGGGAGCACAGGGAGCCCGGCTGGGTGCGCGTCCACCCCCGGCCAGGCTGCCCTGGCCATCCCCGCGCTCCCAGCCAGGTCCCACCTCCTCAGCAGTGACCTCCAGCTCATCCTCGCACTGCGAGTAGTCCCTCCAGGGCTGGCTGCCGTTCACTGTCACCCACTGGCCGTCGGTGCCACACCTGCGGCTCACCAGCCCGTGTTTCACTGCGGACACCAAGCACCGGCACAGTGCCCCAGGCTCCCCCAAGCCCCTCTCCAGGGATGGGGGATCTGCCCCTGCTCCAGGGCAGCCATGGGCAGAGCTGGCTCTGCTCGGAGCCCCCCGTGTCCCCTCACCCCAGGTCTGTTCATGGGTCCCTCTGCCCCTGTCAGGGGAAGGGAGGGGAGCCCTGAGAGCTTCTCCAGCCGCAGAAGGGTTCAGCCCTGGCTTCCAGCTCGGGGATGGCAGGAGGGCATCCTCACCTTTCTCAAACCAGGGCAGGTAGAAGGGGCATGAGACGTTGACGGCGGTGCCAGGGCTCCCGTCGGGCCAGCAGGCGTACATGTCAAATGTCCTGTTACAGAACAGCCCTTCCAAGGGCGGGGACAGGGACAGGGAAAGCCAACGCTCAGTGCCGGATTGGTGGCACAGACACAGCGAGCCCTGCGATCCCAGCACTTCTGAGGGTGCTGATGCCACCCTGAAATGGGCCCGTGTGCTCCACACCACCTCAGCCCCCCAGGACACCCAGCCCTGGCTCCCCATCTGACATGTGGAGGTCCTTGTCAGTCCCTTGGGTGACCGGAGCAGGGGACGCTGGAGAGAGATGAGCCCAGCCCTGGCTCTGTGCGCCCCGGGCTGGCACGGCCGGTACCTGCCGGGTAGGGCTCGCTCGCCATCCTCCGCAGGCACTCGTCACGGTACCGCAGCCACTCCTCGAAGGTCTTCTCCAGCACTTTGGCCCCGCCGTGCTGCAAGCCCGGAGCTGGGTCAGAGCCTGCAGCGCCCTGACCGCCCCCGGGAAGCGCTGCCCGAGCCCGGGGCCGGGCAGGAGCCGGGATGGAGCCGGGATGGAGCCGGGATGGAGCCGCCCCGCTGCCCCGGCCCCAGCCCGGCCCTCACCGGCACGGAGGAGAAGAGGCACAGCCAGGCGAGCTGGACGAGGCTCCGCAGGGATCCAACTCCAGGCGAGTCCCTCATGGCCGCTCCCAGCCTGACCGGTGCTCCCGGTGCCGGGGCGCGTCTCAAACTGGGCCGGGAACGCCGATCCTGGGGAGAGGAGGAGGAACGGGGGCGGCTCGGCTCTGCCAGCCACCCACAGCCGGTGGAGACAGAGATTTGCTCCCCAAACCAGCAGAGGAGAAGGTCCTGGGCATGTCCTGGGCTGCCACAGCCCCGGGTCAATTCCCTGATGGAGCCAAAACCTCGGGGAGCGCCAGGCGGAGCAGCCAGGGTGTAAATGGATCTCACGTCTGGATGAGCCTGCTCAGCTTCCACCCACCGCTGCCAGCCCCGAGGGGAGCAATCGGCACCGTGACAGCCCCAGCGCCACCCCAGTGCACCCCTGGGTGAGCCGGGAAGGGGCTGCAGGGACAGGGGGCAGCGAGACCTCTCTGGGGTCCCCTGGGCCCCCATCGCCGGCCGGGCTGGGACCCCCATTCCAGCTGTGCCCCAGCACGTCCCGCCCGGTCCCGCTGGCCCAGACCCCTCCCAGCCCGGCCGGGGCTCGGGGCAGGAGCAGCTCCGCCACCCCCGGGGCTCCCCGCTCCTCCGGGGCTCCCATCGCTCCCAGCCCGGCCCCCCCAACAGCTCGGACCTCCCGGTTTGTCCCCCACGAGGGTCCCGCTCGGTGCCTCCGGGGGTCCCGGGGCTCCGCCGCTCCCTCCGCCCGCTTACCCGGCTCCGCGGGACCGGCAATCCCGGTGTCCCGCTGCTCCCGGTGTCCCGCTGCTCCCGGTGTCCCGCTGCTCCCGGTGTCCCGTTGTTCCCGCTGTTCCCGCTGTTCCCGGTGTCCCGCTGCTCCCGGGTTCCCGGCAGCCTCGGCAGCACCGGTGTTTCTGGCAGCCCCCGTGTTCCCGCTGTTCCCGCTGTTCCCGCTGTTCCCGTTGTTCCCGTTGGTCCCGGTATTCCCGCTGTTCCCGGTGTCTCGGGCAGCCCCGGCTCCGCGAGGTGAACGCGGCGGTGACCGAGCGGCGTCTGCGGCGGAGCCGCCTCCTGCCAGCGCCGGCCCCGACGGGAGGGGGCTCTGGGGGGGCTTCGGGGGGAGCTCGGGGGCGGCACCGCCTCCAGGGGCTCCGGGTGCCCGGTGGGACCCGCGGGGTCCAGCACGGAACCTCCCGGGGATCGCACGGGGATGGGGGCCCAGGTCCAGCCCCTTCGGGATCCCTGCTGGAATCACACTGAGACAGCGACCGGGGTCCAGGTCCAGCCCCACTGAGGGTCCCCAGCTGCATCACACGGGGACAGGGATGGGGGTCCAGCCCTCAAACTGTGGGGCACAGGGAGCAGATCAAGGATCCAGCCCCCCTCAGTCTCCCCAGAGCCCCTGTGCCTCCATCACACAGCCCCAGGGAAAGTCCTTCCCCTCCCCGGCTCGGTGTCCCCCTGGCTGTCCCCTGGGCTGGGTGACAGCCCCTGTGCAGGCAGGGGGGGCTGTGGGGCCTCCCTCCCCTGGGGACAGGAGTGGATCCAGCAGAGGGCACAGCCCGTGCCATCCATGGGCCCTGTCACCCAGCCGGGGAGCTCCAAGGGCAGGGACAAGCCATGGGACGAGCCTGGTGGCCCTGGTCCTGCTGCCTCCCCAGCACGTGCTGGCAGTGGGGAGGGAGGGGTCTGTGCTGGGGAAGGTGATTTTGCCACCAGTGGAGCAGGGAGATCCCCCTGAGGTCCCCAAATCCCCAGCGCAGCCCTTCCAGGCTCCCTCCCAGTGCAGCTGTGCCTCCCTCCTGCTGCAATGCTGGCACCCACCCTGCCCTGCAGCAGGGGGGGTTCATCCCCCAAGCTGGCTGCATGCACCAGAAAACACATTTGTTTTGCAAAAATAAGATGTTTGTCTCAAAGCTGCTGCAGTGGAGCAGACACAGGAGTCAGGGGGATGAGGAGTCACAGCTGTGGCTGCAGTGATGTGAGCGGTGTCTGCTGATTCCAAGTGACAAACAACGCCCTGGGGAGCAGCCCAGGGAAAGGATTTGCTGTTTGGGGGGGAAATGAGGCCTCAGGTGCCTCCCCCAGCATGAGCCAACACCAGGGTGTCTGCTCATTGAGAAATTATGAACTTTGGACAGGAGCCTGGAGGGACAGGACACAGGGAATGGCTCCCAGTGCCAGAGGGCAGGGATGGATGGGAGATTGGGAATTAGGAATTGTTCCCTGGGAGGGTGGGCAGGCCCTGGCACAGGGTGCCCAGAGCAGCTGGGGCTGCCCCTGGATCCCTGGCAGTGCCCAAGGCCAGGCTGGGCAGGGCTTGGAGCAGCCTGGGACAGTGGGAGGTGTCCCTGCCATGGCAGGGGTGGCACTGGATGGGCTTTAAGGTCCCTTGAACCCAAACCATTCCATGATTCCATGATGCCACAGCCCTGGGGCACTCATGGGGATGATTCCAGCCATGTCCCCATTCCCAGACTGACTCTGCACACCCGCACCCCACAGATGTCCCTGTGTGAGCCCATGCAAAGGCAGCAGGAGCATGGGGTGGGCTCATCCCACAGGGATGCTGGATTTGGGGAGATCCCAGGGCTCCAGGGCTGGGCTCATCTCACAAGGATGCTGGATTTGGGGGGAGCCCAGGGCTGCAGCACTGGATGCCATTCCCTAGAGAGGAATCACAAACCCTGGATGTTATTGCCCTGCTGAGGTCCCTCTGGATGGGATTTGTCTCCCATGTCCCTGGAATGGGGACATGAGGAACGAGCTGTTCCTCTCCATATGGATGCACTCCAGGTGGGTCTCCATAGCGACTGCAGCGCTCCAGGCTCTGCCAGGGCCAGATCCTGATCCATGGGGGGCTCAGAGCCATGGGAAGAGGGGCTGGGGCAGCACCCCACTCCCAACAGCTGCTGTGCTGCCAGGGTGGGCTTGGCACACAGACACATGACTGGTAAATTGAGTTATTTCTTTATTAAAGGTGAGGTTCACCATCAGAGCTGGGAAAATTGTCCCGGAGTGGTCTCAGGAATTGAAGCTGTTGGTGCTTCTTGGGCAGCCTGAGAGCAGCAGGGGTGCTCAGGGAGAGGAGAGCATCCTCCAGGGCCCTGCATGGGAAAATCATGGAATTGTTTAGGCTGGAAAAGCCCTCTGAGATCATCGATGAGCAGCACTGCCAGGTCCACCATTCACCCATGTCCCTAAAACACCACATCTACAAGTTTTTGGAACACTTCCATGGATGGTGACTCCACCTCTGCTATCAGCAGCCTGTTCCAGTGCCTGATCTCTCTTTCAGTGAATACATTCTCCCAAAATCCAACCCAAGCCTCCTCTGGTGCAGCTGGAGGCCGTTTCCTCTGGTCCTGTTCCTGTTCCCTGTGAGAAAAGCCAAGGTCACTAAGGGATAAACACGCAGCCAGAGAACCCCCAGGGCTAAATCCCTTCCCCCCAGCGCTGTTACCAGCAGCAACACCTCCTGAAGGCAGCTTTCACTTTATCTACCCATTATTGATGGGGGAATTCACCCGTGGGCATTACTGCAGCATCTGCGAATCAAGGTGCTTTGCTCCCCATCCAAAAGCAATTCGCAGAACAGAAGCACTCCCCAACACATCCCAACTCCAATTATGCAGCAAACTTCCCAAAAAAGGCTGGGGGAGAGAAATCCCTCAGCGTGTGAGTGGCCAGGGAGCAGCTGGGGAGGGACACGGCTCCCCCTGGGGCAGCTCCTGGGGCTTTGGTCAGCTTTGCAGAACGGGAGTATCTGTTTCCACCCCATTTCCACCCCATTTCCACCCCACTTCCACCCCATTTCCATCTCATTTCCAGCTTGTTTCCATCCCATTTCCATCCCATTTCCACCCCATTTCCATCCCATTTCCACCCCATTTCCACCCCATTTCCATCCCATTTCCACCCCACTTCCATCCCACTTCCACCCCATTTCCATCCCATTTCCACCCCATTTCCACCCCATTTCCATCCCATTCCCACCCCATTTCCATCCCCCGTGGCGATGACAGGCAGGGACCCCACTCCATCACACACAAAGGTCACTCCAGCCGCTGTTCCAGCTCCTCACCACATTCCCAGCGGTGATAAATGTGTGATAAATGAGTGTTCCCGGCTCACAAAGGCCCTTTTGGATTTGGCACTCGCTCAGAGCCCTGGGCAGCTGCGGTCCCTGCAGCAGCCCCCGGCACTCGGGATGCAGACCGGGATTCGAAGCTGACCGGCTCTCCTTGGTTTCCGTGTGGATTCTCGCCTAATTCACGCCGGAAGGTTGAAATATGAGATCAAGACCTTCTCTGACATTCATCGCTATTCACATCCTGCCCCGGGGCCGGGCTCTTTGTCCCCTGCTCTGCCGGAGGGCCTTGGCAGGGAGGGCAGCATCCACATTCCAAGGGCTCCGACACCGGGAATTCAGGGAGCAGACAATGGAATCTTTTCAGCATCTTTTATTTCCTCCCTGCCTGCTCCGAGCCTGCTTGCAGCTTTTGCTGTTACCAACCCTGGGGCTGCAGCACAAGGAAAACCTGGCTGGAGCTGCTGGAGAGAGTCCAGGGGAGCCCAAGGAGATGCTGCAGGGGCTGGAGCCAGGCTGGGAGAGCTGGGGGTGCTCACCTGGAGAGGAGAAGGCTCCAGGGACACCTCAGAGCCCCTTGCAGGGCCTGAAGGGGCTCCAGGAGAGCTGCAGAGGGACTGGGGACAAGGCCTGGAGGGACAGGACACAGGGAATGGCTCCCACTGCCAGAGGGCAGGGATGGATGGGATATTGGGAATTAGGAATTGTTCCCTGGGAGGGTGGGCAGGCCCTGGCACAGGGTGCCCAGAGCAGCTGGGGCTGCCCCTGGATCCCTGGCAGTGCCCAAGGCCAGGCTGGGCAGGGCTTGGAGCAGCCTGGGACAGTGGGAGGTGTCCCTGCTGACCCCCTCCAGATGAAAACGCTGCTAATTGTCATTCAGATTAATCATCATTAAGCTGGGCAGGGTCAGGGTTAACCCCGGGTGCAATCACTAAGGGACATCTTCATCAGAGCCTCCCAGCAGCCTCTCAGTGCTCCTCAGGGGGTGGCAGTGCTGCTTTGTCACCTCAGGGTGGTCCCCAGGACTCCCAGGGGAAGCTGAGGAGCTCCTCTGGTGTTTGCCAGAGCACATTTGGAGTCCCCCTGAGGAATGGGTGCCTCTGTCCCCAGTGTGAGGGCTGAGCCCTCGCTCCTCCCAGCCCAGGGCCATCTCCAGCCCCTGTGGGAGCAGAGGAGAGGGGGTGAGCAGCCCCTCTGGGCCTGGGGTGGCCCTCAGCTGCTCTGACAACAGATGTATTTTCCACACCTTTAATATCCCCTCTGTAAAACCAAGGGATTAAGAAGTTGCTCTGAGTTCTGGGTCTTTCCCAGCCTTCCAGCTGTCCCAAGTGTTGGATGTTTGCCACCTTCTGGGACTGTGATGGATGAAAATGTATTTTCAGCCTGGGCTGTAACTGGCACTGCTGTGTTGTGCTCAGCAAAGCATTCGAGTCACTCAGACCTGCCAGGTGAGAGCTGTGCTCTGCATTTCCCTCTTGCCAGAAAGTCTGAAAGGGCTCCAGAAAAGCTCCCCCCAGGTTTGCCAGAGCCTCATAATACAAAACCTGGCTTAGAGCTGGGAAGGGGAGGCCCTGAGACCGGAGGTTCTGTGCTGTCCCAAGGCCCAGCTAGCACAGGAGGTGTCAGGATGTGCCTCCTCCAGCATTATCTGGCTGATCTGGGAATCACTGAGAGCCCCCAGGCACAGTGCTGGTGGGAAAGCTCTCTCCCCCTCACTTTGGGCAAAATGAAGTGAAAAAGAAACTTGCCCAATTGTCACAGACATCTTTTATGGAAAATCCTTTCCT